AGACGGCCACTCGGTGCACGACGGCATGTTTTGTTCGAAGATAACGTCCGAAGGAGGAGGAGGAGGAGGATGGTCCCAGACGTTGCTCCGGCCGTCAACCCACTTCCCCCCAAGCATCTCCGAGCGGGTCCGTAGTCGTCATAGCTGCTCTACAAAGAGTTCCAAAGGGGGTGTATCTAACGCAGCCAAGTTTCAAACTAGAAAGAGGAAGGTGTGGGGGATGGAAAGACGGGTAAACCCCTACAACTGAAAACGAAGGGGGAATGCGAAAAGCTTACAGGACTTGCCTGCGACCCAGCCCAAACAGCGTGAGACCGGGAGGTCTAGCGAATACAAGGTGAGGAATCTATGGAACTTGCGAAAAACGGCAACGGCCCTGACCCCCAAGAAAGCGCGACAAGGGGGAGTGTGAACACAAGAGTCAAGAGCACAATGACCGACAATGGGGAATACTTGTGCAAGATGACAACCACACAGACCTCGGAACACGGCAAGAACCCGTAACGGAGAACGCAAAACGAAGAGCCTACGGGAATTGTGGAAGATGGCGGCAACCCCAACATTTAGGGTCTGGGACAACCGGAGCTTACGGCGCAAGGCGCGTGCAGAAGACAGCAACAGCCCAGACGGGAAGATGTCTACGAAGGCCCTGCAGCAAAGATGGAGGCGAAGAGCCTGCTAAGCTTGGAGATAACGTGTGAACGATAATGTGTGACAACTCGCACTGCAGGCTACTTTATCGACCCTAGTGATGCGCAGGTTGCTGGCCCTTGCTTCTCACTCCCTAACAAGAACGCAAGTAATGCTAATGGGCCATATCGTTTGTGGCATCAGATTCCTCGCCTGGCTGTGCATACTTGGGAGTGCTGAACAAGAACTTTAGGAGAAAAAGGCCCCACACACGGGCACGGTGGATGAGAATTGACATCGGCTTACAGCCACTGCTCTCCATGATGCCTCGGCATTCCTTCAGCGTTCCAAACACTTGCACAGCACTCGAGTGAAACCTGCGGATACACCTTGAGACGTCTCTCAACGTTTCCCCCGCTGTTCTGGCACAGCCGAGCTCCAAGCAGGCCATGCGCCACGCTGCTTGATGGACCAAAGATTAATCCCAGGCCAAGAACCGGCCTGATCAGCAAGCTGGTGAGACCATCAAATAAGGCTCAGAGCCTCTTATTGCACCACCCTGGACGCTGCATTCCAAAACCAGGGCTAGGCGCAGAGAGCTGTCAACGTCTCCGTTGTAAACCCACCGTGAGTTTGCATCTTTCGCTCGCATAGGATGGAAAGGACCATGGTTTCGCTTTCTTACGCGATGTATCATGCTGGCCCAGGTTTGCAAGTGGAAGCCTGGCCCCCCTGCATCCCCCTGCACTCTTGACGAAAAACTGGTGAGCAAATCCCTCACCTTAGAATCAAGGCTTCCACAACACACACACACACACACACACACAACACCAGCCCTCCAGTCTCCCTCGGTCCGCTCGTCCCCCTGATCTTGCGGTGTTTGCACTGGTTATGGCGTGCGGCTGCCACCTGCAACGCACACCTGTCGAAGACAGTGCCTCCACAAAAGGCGACGCCGAGGAAGCACTGGGTCGCGGAATTCCCACCTTAGCTTGGTGCAACGCATGACCCTGCCCTGCCCATGAAAATGTTCACAAAGTTTGCTGCAAAATAAAGCCCTGCCAATTGTAATTCTGTCGAGACCCCGCGGCCTCCACCCCCTGTCTCGTTCATATGCAGCCATGCAATGCCATGCACAGGCCTTTCTGCATGCTCTCAGGTCGCCCAGATGCAACTCAACAGCACCTTCAAAGAGATGCCTTGCAAGAAGCAGCTTGAGTGGACGATTTGGACTGGCCCACATGCCGTACCTCTCGGATGGAATGGCGACTATTCTTTGAAGCCATTCGGTCCGAACTTCACAGTTTACTTCGAGCGCCTTCCCTATGCAAACTGTCAGCGGGAAACATGGGAGGGCTTCGAGAAGACGCTGAAGGAATTCAAGACCTTCCTCCGAGAGAGGCTTCGATGAAAATACATCCTTTTCAGGAAAGTACTTATGCGTGCTTCTGCCTGCTTTCGACTCTGCTTGCCACATTCGGCCGCACATCGAGGAATGGACCCTTTGACGGAGCGATGGGCTTCGACATGGGTGGCGAGTTCCTCGTGCACGTCGCCGGCTTGGCGACTGAAGGAGATCCTGACCTGCAGGACCGCTTTTCCGCACCATGGACCTAGGACCTAGGAAAACCTCCCTGCAAAGGAGGCGTTCCGCTTCCTCATGCTGTTTACCAGCACGGCTCCCAAGCACCTTTCACCCATGGGCAAAGACCGCATCAAGGCACCTTTGCAAATTCCAACGATCTGTAGCTGGAGCAATTCGGATGAAAACCATCCGTGGCGGGCCTGCACCCCAAATCCGGTTCGTCTAGTAGCCGGCGTTTCATGCCAGCAGGGGGCTGCACCTTTGTTTGCGCACATGCCGAGGTACATGGAGTATGAAGAACTTCCGCTGTTCATCCATCCAAACTTCAGGGAAGTGATCGTACATCATGACGGGCACAAGCCACCGGTTTTGAAGAAGGAGCAGGCAGCTCCCAGGCGGAAAGAGTGTGTTTCGCAGTGCATCATGACATGGCACAGTCGCTGAGACACGAGGTTTTCTGGCGTTTCGCGCGAAGCTTGTCTGCATGTATTCATGAAGTTTCGGAAATTCCTGCAAGCACTCTCATGACTGAGCTGAGCTGAAGGCTTCCTGGATGCAATGGAGAAGGGAAGAGAGTTTACTCCTTCGGATCACAGCGACAATGCAGTGCGCTCGAAGCTCTGGCTACCAGTGCAGCGATCAGCTCCAAGCCATACGAAGGGAGAGAAAAGGCCGGATGCCAGATGCAAAGCTGGATGCTAAAGGCTAAAGCATGTCCCCCCCCCAAAAAAAAAATTGCAGGCGGTTGCTAGTCGTGCCGGACCCCGTGGGCACGGGAGCCGACCTTCCAAAGGCCATCGAAGCATTACAAGTTGCTTGGCGATCCGTTTCTCTCCACTGAAACCCCTTGCTGAGGCTGCGCTGTCGCAATGCTGATCAAACCTAGGTGACAATCTTGGCAACAAAGACTTGCTGGCATTGCTGTTCCGAACAGCCAATACGTAGGTCTTTGAGCCATGTTCGACATCCTACTTGCATTTCCAGACATCTCAAGACGAGCGTAGGTCTGGAAGAAACATGCTCCAAGTTCTCGTTCAGTGCCCATGCCTGCTCTTTGGGCTGTTTACTGCGCTGACCTAGGCGATGCAAGCCAGAGGCGAGCGTGTCGAAAGCGAGGGAGAGCCGTTTGTCAGCGGCGGCACGCCTCCGAAGCCAATTCAGCGGCTAGAGCTCTTGGCACAGGTGTGCCAAGCATCGCCTGAGATTTTTCAGCAGGCTGCGTCAGACTCATCAGCAGCCATTGACGTCCAAGGTGCAACTTGGAAGCAACTAGTCCGTGACACCCAGCTGGCCCTTTTTGACGCAAGCCCCACAGGAAAGTACAGAAGGATGGAAGCCCTCCAGAGACTAGTTGGTCTCTGCATCTTCATGCCTTGTCCACTGGGATTTGTGCACGGGCTGCTTTTGACGATAGGGCGTCGACCAAGGGGTCGGAAACTGCTGTGTTGCAACTTCCACGCCTGCCCGATTCGTGAGGCCTATGCATAACTGGCAGAGAAGCGATAGAACGTGTGCAGATGCCGGCTTTCTGCATGCAGAAATCTCAGGTAAGTTTCACTGACGAGCAGTCGCAGATCCAGTGGAACTGCAACGGTGCCGACGTCCCTTCACGACAACTGCTGAGCAAGGATGGCGACACTTGCTTCATGCGAGTGTAGAGTTTATGCAAGTCGCAACCGTGCTCGCTCGGGCAGGATATCATCGATGACGAAAAGCGGGACTTTGATGCCCAAGAAATGGCTCGAAGATTCGTGGAGGAGCCGCAGCTGATTCTAAAAGGTCGCTAGAAGCTTGGCATGTGTGGAGTTTTGTAATCAAGGATGCGAAGGCTGGGGACGCGCCGTTGGCTCTTGTGGGACTTGGCACCGGAGCCTTCATCGCCTTTGCCATCGCTCGAGAACTTGTCTCCAAGGGCATCCGGCCCTTGGGCCTTTGGTTGGTAAATCCACCACTTCGCCTGCCATGGTCATGCACTAGCGAACCCTGCATATTGAAGGCACGCGAGGGGGTTTACGCAAGGTGGCTGACATTGTGTTTACATGGGAGTAACTGAGTAACTATCAATTAAAGCTACCTTGGCTTTGTGTTTGTGGCGGGACAGCATGAAACTGACAGGACTGCCCAGTCCATGTGCTCGTTGATCGCGACTCAACGTATGGTCCGCCATGGCGGTACGAGGTGTCGACCTGCGGCCCATTCACCACGAGCCTTTTCGTCGACATGGATGAGATGGTGAAGCGCGTCATCTCTGATGTACAGTCTTTATAAGCCGGCCAGCAAAGCCGGGCAGCAGCGGCCATGAGATTTGAAACCAGCTTGTGCATCATGGAACGGCATTCTCAAACTATTTCAAGATCCAGGGTGTAAGCGGCATAGACATGCACTGGGCATAGTAAATCCCAAAAAGAAGGAAACTGGATTAAGGACAACTAGCGTTGGGATTCCCTTTGCATGACTCCTAAGGGTTGAGGCTATTTGGTTTCCAACTTGTGGGCTTCTACTGTATACTTTTCTTGGCATTGGCGCGGCAAAGAACCTGAGGCAAGGCTGCCGCACTAAGCCAATTCTCTCACAACGTGCAGTACTTCTGTGTGCAATCCGCCTCCGTGTGTCCGCTCAGGTACGCCTGAACGCAATGTTTCACACGGCACCTGTTGAGGTCCATCATCATACCGAATTATCTTGCCCCCACCTAATGGACGAAAAGGTATTGTGTGCATGCAAGGTAAGACACTGTTAATAACTGCCATCGGCACCGATCCAAATCTCGCGTGCTGCCATCCAGGAACCGAGAACACTACACCTTGCAACAGAAGCTGAGGGCCATCGACGAGGCATCCGGCTTTCTTCTCCCCCTGCATGCAACGTCCTTTAACAGTGAACGGCTGCAATCTCGAACTGAGGCGATGGGCCCATGTCGCTGCTTTTCCTGTCAGAAGCCGAGCCAGATGTCTGGTCCTCCCCTCCTGCGGAGACATCTAACTGAGGCAGTGCCCCGAGTCTTTTCAACTCCAGGCTGTGAGAAGTTGCACCAAAATGTGCAGTTCCAAATATTTCTGCATGGACTTCGGCCTGGCCTGGCAGGCAACTGCTTTCTATGAGCAAGTGGGCTTGGCACTACTCACGTGTCAAGCTGAGCGTGCCTGGAAAGAGTGCTGCATGCGACTGCAAGAACGTTCCACTGCTTCGCTGCTCTCTTTGTCAGCAGGCTCTCGCGAAGTCTACCGGCTTTGCAGCTGCAAGATCTTGTGCGAGACCCTGTCCTTCACGCGCCTTGCCAATGTGAGAAAGCCTTGGCGCGTCAGGCTTTGCCTTTCGCAAGGGCCGGATTGCTCGACAACGCACAGCTCTCACGAAGCTGCAACGTCGAGTAGCTGCTGTGAAGCTTTGGGTGCACCGAATGCTTGATGCATGACGAGGCTGTCCCATTCGATCTCGTTACAGAGGAGACTCGACACTTCTTCAAGGCTCGCAGCGATCGGAGGTTAACACGCCTCGGATGTTAGGGCCAAGCTGCATGCTCAAACATGATGTGAAGCGACAAGGCTACAGGAAAGCTTGCATCCCGACCTTTCCAAGCTTGAACACAACTCTTACACGGACTTTCAGGGACCAATTCTTGTGCAAAACATGAGAGGGACTTGAAAGCCAGGACGAAGAGACTCAAAAGCTCAACATGCATCTCTTGAGCTTTCAGTGCTCCATGTGCGTCGCGACTGTTTGTCTCAGACGGCTGCACTGGCTGCCCCACCACCACCGCTGGGAGCTTTGGCAGACACTGCACAAGCACAAAACTAGCTCGCTGATTGAGGTCACTGCTGAAAGTGCGTGGCACTTGTGCATTCGTTGAATCACACAGCCGATTTTGTGTGAACTTGCTCCGAGGCAGGGAAACCCTTGCATTCAGGCCTGGACTTGCCTGGATCTGTGCAGTCGGCTAAAGACAATGCCTCAAGGAGCTGGTCGACGACGGGGGGCCCGCCGCGCCAGGCCACAACAAGAGTTTCCGTGGGTATGCTGTGCCTAAGTTCTGGTAATGCCTGGGTCGCGAATCGGGAATTAATTCTGTAGAAACACTCGCCAGTGCTTGAGAAGCAGATGTGTCCAGGAAGCTACGGGTCCTTTGGCAGGTTCTCTGTAAATTATTTGACCAGCTATCTGATAGCAGCTATCTGTAACAGAACAGACCCCGGTGGTTTGCTATTGTGCTGGAAATCTGGGAAGCGGGAAAGTGTTTGGCCACGGTGTGCTGGCGCTATGCGTAAAAACTCCGGGCAGGATGGGCTGGTGAGCAGCAATCTAAGAAGCAAAAAATATGCTGATGGAGTAGCGTGGGCTCACGGGTTTTGCATGCCACAATGCTTGAGAGGCAGTGCGCGAAGCCACATGAGAACATCGCAGCCTCGCAGAGTCACCATGGAATCTTTAGGATCATAGTGTAGTGTCATAGAATCAGAAGCACGGTCGAAGCCATGAGTTTTCATCCGGCGTGGTAATGAGATGCAGGTGTTGCCTCCCAAAGTTTGGTGGGCAAAGCCAGGTTTTTCTAGAAAAACTTAGTAGATACACGAAAACCCACCGCCACCGGACAGTCGATTTAATCTTAGCGGGCTGTGCGCGGCGGTCGCGGAGAAAGCATTCCCACCTGTTGGTCATTACCCAGACGAAAACGTGGAGAGTCTGGACAGCTTGTGAACGAGTTTGTCCACCGCTGCATAGGTTTCATCAGGAAATGGCCAGAGCATGTGATTCTGTTTGCGTTTGGCAGTGTAGCCGACTCTGTCACTTAAGACCGTGCAACTGAGTGCCTGATGACATCTGAATGCTGTTGAAACTGCAGGATCCCGGAAAGACACGTGTCGACATTTCTCGTCCATTCCTGCCCTGTCGAATGTCCACATACTGCTGACTCTCAAGTCCAATTAACAAAGCTGCGCTTCGCAGTTTAGTTTATGCTCGAGGACAAGTTCTGCAGTCAGCGGGTTTACCCTCAAGCCGTGCTATGACTTGGGATTTGAGACGGGAGTTGTTGCAGGTGCAATTTGTTCGGGATCAACCCTGTAGTGTCGTATTACCGTGCTGACGTGGGTCTTGGTACCAAGCCCTCGGTTAAGCTTGGTCCTAACAACTTGCGCGGAGAATCTGTACAAGTTAAAGCCAGCACCTGTTCCATGGACAGATCTCTAGCCAGAGATGCAGATTCTGCAAGTCAGACTCTAGTCAGATATTGCCTGACCAAAACGTCCCTGGTCAGATTCTGCACACAATGACTGGACCATTCTGGACAAACGCCTCTCAGAATAACTATTAGACAAAACCCAGTCATGACCAAGATTCAGCCGAAAAGACTGAATCTAGGCATTCTCCTAATCCAAAGATGAAACCCCGAACATCCTCTTGAGCCTGTCTGTACTTTTGCTGCACATGCGCAAAGTAAAGTACGCTTAAATAAAGTTAAATGTTTGCATGGACCCAGATGTCCCTGTCGCATTGTGGTTGCCAAGTTTACATGCTGTGCCCTTGTTCACGTGCATTGTAGCGTGGCTGTGGGGGGTGAGGCATGCAACGCAGCTGCAGACGCCGTCAAATCAGGACAGCATAGATCTCGAAACAGTGAAGAAGGACCATGCAGAAAAAATCCACCGGCAGAACCCTTTGCCCGCACCCCGGACGAGACCGGAGCGCCCAACATGCTTCTGCCCCTGTACTGGCGGGAGTCAGAGACATGACCAGGATGCTTCCAGGCTTGCACTGGAGCGCAAATCATCCCGGGTATGCCTCGCGGATAATTCACGCACACACACACACACGCAGACACACACACACACACACACACACACTCTCACACACGCACGAACCCATTCTCCTTACACTGAAAATAAAAACCAGAGAAAGACCACGACACTGCTTGACAGTGGTGCCACACTCAACGTGTTTCTAAAGCAAGGATGGGTATTTATTTAGAGTGAAGGCTTCGCACATGACCCGCGCACTCGTCTCGAATTTCGCTTTCGGCACGGCGATTGTTCGGGTAGGCGATTGATGTTGAAGAGACGTACAGCCAGCCTCATGCAAGCACCAGACACGAATCATGACGCTGGCAGATGGGTGCTGCAAAAAGGCCTTGAGAGTCTGAACAGATGAGGCGTCGATGACCCACCGGCAGCTGGCACGCAGTCCGAAACTCGATCAGATAGCGGGCGGCAAACCCGGCCGCAATGTGCGTAATGGAGGCATGTAGTCTTTCCGCGGCAACTTCTGCATCTTTGTTCAAGGTGCTTGTTGGACCTCCTCTTGGAGGACACGGGACAGACGAGGGCAAGTAAAGTCATACGCCGCAGGGAATGCTTGGCGGCAGGAGTTGCAGTCGGGTGCAGCAAGCGAAGATGGAGCTGGGAGGAGAGACGTTTGTGCCTCCAATTGCTCACATCGCGGTCCAAGTTGCTTGAAAACATGGAGGCATGACGGCGCACGTCTTGCCAGACTGCTGCTTGCTTATCAGTGAGTTTCTTCGTAATGTGGCTTGCAAACGTGAGCATGTGCCGCGTGATCCTTTCTCGTGGGACAGGTACAAGTGTTGAATGCATTGGATGTTCGAATTTGCTGACGACGCGTTTTGCTTGCGAAGATTTGCCAATGCTTCCGTGCTTTCGCCGGGTGGCTCCGAAGCTCGTAAAGTTCCTATGGGTTTGCGACATTTCAAGCAGCCTCGAGGTTGCATACGAGCTTTGTCAGTCTCCATTGGCTCAACTGCGTTGGCTCGTCTGTAGAGGCAGGCATTTGTATAAGAAAGAACAAGCCCAACTTGCTTTTGGCGTGGGCGTGTCGACTGCACTGTTCTTTCGTCGTAAACTCTCCCTTTGCCAATGTGAACATCGTCCATTTCTGGACATCTTCTTCGTTCGATGTCAATTGCTGCCATCATGTCGGTCGATCAAGCCGAGCCGGCCAAGGGCATAGCTTCCATGGGGTTGTACCGTTGAGTCAAGTACTTGTGGTTAGCGCGGCACCATGCTGCCAGTTGTTTTTGGCAGTGTAGGGGATTGCTTGCCTTCGGGACCCTCGCAGAACCAGCCACCTGAGTCAAAGTCCGCGAAGAGGTGATCACAGACCTGCTTGAAAAGATGGGTTGATGAACACAAGTTACTCGTCTACGCCTCCGCAGATACTGAAAGATGGACTGACCACCTTCCGGGAAAAAGAACTAGCCGGGGTTAGCTTCCGCCAACCGCCGACGCACAAGAAGAACTCAGGCATTGACCACACTTCAATGACAGTGACCGCAAGCTCCCCATTCCCCAGGTTCAGGGTGTGACATTCATCCTGAAAAGATCTGAAAAGTCGACATGCACAGCGAGTTTTTTCAGCTGATTCTCATTGCAACCGTCAGTATGCAGCGTGCAGCAAGCATCAGGCTAGCAAGATATGCTGGTCTATTGCCGCCAGGCACGACTCGGAGCAGTCTTGTCTGCCAGACTGCGTGCATCCTGTCGTCAATTCGGCAGGTAATGCAGAGGGCTCTTCCGCGAGGCAAGGCTCAGTGACGTTGAACCACATCGAAGCTGTCAAGAACGTTCAGGTCTGCTCCCCCGGCTGTGCTAGATCCGATCCTGAGGCGGCAACCGACTGGCATGCGTTGCACGACCACGGCACAGTCGATCAGCGACTTTACATGAGGTGCCTGGGAGTTGTCCTGAAAGACTCCGCTCGGAGTTTGTGGTGATCTCAGTCTTCTGAGCGGTTGCCCCATGTGTCAGAATATCGCTCATGTACCATCGTGGCGGTCTCGCGAGGACCTTCAACGACCTTGCGGCTGCTTTGGAAACTCTTGCTGCTTGGATGCATGGCAGATGGCACAGAATGCCGACCCTGAGCACTCTTCCTCGGCACGGGGCTGTGCTTACAGGCAGACGCTGGGATTCGGCCACGCAGCGTGCTGGAGGTGCTAGCTGCTAGCCTTCTGCGTGCACTAATGGACAGTAGATCCATTTTACATCTCGCGAGGCGCTGATGTCTGCAGCAGAGGCAGCACTTCCTGCGCGTGTTCTGAGCCGTCATGTTGCCAATGTAGATGCACACGCAGTCAAATCGTGCAGTTTGCCTGAAGGCTTTCCAATTTCCTGCTTTACAAGATGATGCTGCGACATCCGTAGAATTCTCGGGTTTCCCTTGGTTTGCTGCCTCCGTGGCAAGCAAATTCGACGTGCTTCTAGGTTGCCGCTCTGCTGCACGGCTGGAGAGCTTCAGGCACTCCGGAAGCGCTTTTGGCTGCAGCTGAACAGAGAGTTCCAGCTGGTTTTGTTGTTTGGTGCGGTGCCGCCCAACCGTCCAACACTGCCCATGGCAGCACGTACCAGACTGCCTGTCACAACCTTCGCTCGGAAAGCCTCTGGCCTAAGGCTTAATGGCCTAATGAACTCAATCGTTGAAATCTTGGCACGGCAGGGAGAACAGTTGAACGTCGCGGAAATGTGGGATCGTTTGCACTGAAAAAACGGTCGTGTGAAAATTAGACGACGAGTGGAGTGAAGGAAGGCACGGCAGGGCACCAGCGACAGCTGCTGCCGGCAAACGCTCAGCTTGTCGCTGTACAGGACCACGGAATCGAACGTTGCTGAGTAAACGACAGCCTCACCGGAGCATCAATGAACCATGTTGAACCCGAGTGAGAAGCTTGCTCAAATCCAGTTGTGCGAACTCCAAATGGCATCAGAATTCGCCGCAGTAGAGCTGCATAGTGTTCGTCCTGGCGGAGTCGCAGCAGGCCAGTTGCAAAAGAGCTGCATAGAAATCCCCACGCACTCAAGAAGGGTCATTTGCTTCGGGGTGGGCGGGGCATGCGGAGCAAATGATGTACCGAGATTTATTCTGTGGCTCTGTACTTGAATGGACAGGGCGGCAGCTGAGTCCGGCCCTACGACGACGCCTTAAAGACTTCTTGTCCCAATTCGAGGCCGGCAGTGATATGCCCGGATGGTGCGATGGACATGCGAGATCCTACGCTGTAGGCTGCAGGATCTTCCTTTTCGATGCTGGGTCATGGACTCGGCTAGCCCAGCAGCATCTTGATGCCTGTGCTGGGGGCGGCCTGGACATGTCGCATCAGGTGATCGGCCATTCCGTGTTGCAGCGCGCATTCTGGTCAGCTCGCTTGTGGTTGGTGGTGTGCAAGCTTGCTGTGTGATTTTGACGAAGTCGCATGAGATGTCCCTCAACGACGATCTGGCTGTCTGAGTCGGCAGTGAGTGCACCCCACTCAGCCGAGTTATCCGAAGCAGAGAAAGATGCTTTTCAGAAGTGAAGCATAAGCGGCAGTAGCTTTGTCGAGGTTATAATGGAACGGTGGAAGTAGATCAGCTCGCTCAGAACATGTCTACGGTTTGGCCATGAAGAGCGTAGCTCAAGTGCTGCAAAGATACTGGCTAGTGTGCTTCGAAAACCCGTCGGGCACATGCCCGAAGCCATGGTGAAGCCACAGATCGCCTAGTTCGCGGCATGATTCCGGAAGCATGGACTCAGCCACGAGGGCGGCTTGACCAGGGAAGAATGTTAGCTGTACGGCCAGCACCCGTGCACAGCAAGCTCAGCTGCCGTCGTGCAGCTCTCTAAGACATGTAAGCTTCACGGCGTAATGCTATGTTTGGTTCAACCCTGCAGGTTTGCGGACGGCGTGCCTCACACAAACATCAGGACTGCACGTTGACGTCATCCCCTGCTGCCCCAAGCCCATGTCCACCTACCACAAGCCGGGCGCACAATCATAGGCCAGTCAGGTGCATGTGACAGTCAAGCCATGTAGTTCATATTTCTTCTCCAACGCAAACACACCCTCCAAAATGTTTTCGGCATTGAGAACTCTAGCTTGAAAGTCGTTCGGTCTCCGTACCTACTGTAGCAGCACGGCACCGTGCTCTAATAGTTCGACAAGTGTCGCACACAAAGGAGTGAGGGTGCGAGAATTCGCCATGACATGGACAACCTCCCACTCGTAGCTTCAACGCAGCGCAAATCCCCAAGACAAGATGAGTTTAGCATGCCTGCTGCAAACTTGCAGGAAAGATGTCCTGAAAGTTCGATTGGTCATCGGTCTCCTCACAGTCCGATGCCCGGCCTTTTGGTGCCTGGCTTGGTTATGACCTGTGCCGTCAGCCAGAGGTCGCTACTTTGGGAAGCTTCACTTCGATCATGGCCGAGGGCTCCCTCGTAAATACACGACACAGGGCCTCCTTGCCCCTCGACTTGGCGAAAAGCAACAGCTGACAGGGACAGGGCCGAGTCAAGCTTTTCTGAAGATGAGAGTGCTTACAGTCAATCAAACCAGTCAAACCAAGCAATGTCAAGCTTTGACAAGACCGATTCTTAGCACAAAGGTGTCGCGACTGGAAATTCAGGGAAGAAAGCACGCAGGATTGTAACGGAGCTTGGGCTGCACTAACATTGTGTGCGCTGCTGAGCCGTTTGCCCGCAAGAGTGGGGCATGCAAGGTGTAGTCGTGTCTTTCCCCACAGTGGTTCTCATTACTTCCATTCTGTCGTTCGTCGGAGCCCGAGAAGCCCTGGAAGTGACAGCTCTACAAGCATTGATGGCTGTATCCAAGCACTCAAGGCCACTCTTGCCAGTCTCCTATGGCTCGCCATCCACATGGTCACGTCTGATCTTACCAGAGGTGGAAGCGAAACTCGGCTCGATGAGACCTTGACATCAGGAGACGAGCGCAAAGGCTGAGCGCAGTGAACTTGCAAGTTCGTGAGCGCAGTCCCAAACTTGATCCGAGCATGTCACAGTTCTTTGGGACCACATAGATGGATGCTCAGTTGCATCATGTTGCATCTGCTGACAAGGACTTGTCAACTATGCTCGTCATCTATCTCGTTATTAAGGCCGGGTCTCGCCATCTTGGGACCTGCTTGCTTTTGATTGCTTCCCGATCTGTCGGTTGCCAACTCAGCGAGCAGCCCATCTCGCAAGTTGCAGGTCATCTTCCTTGGACTTCATGCCACATTCATCGTGATGACCTGGCACTCCAAAGTAGCAACACCGCAGGGATTTGGATTCACTATCCTGGGAATCGATATAGTGATGGCCGCTTGCTTTGAACAGAGATACACTCATGCGGCCGCATGGGGTGCATGGTCAGCCCTCACATGCTGGAGCATACTGCACGCAGAATCTGGGGAAATTGGATCGACTAAGGTCATGCTTGCTTCCTGTACATGGGCGAAAGTTGTGCGCATGCAGCAGCAAATGACGGAGCCTAGGCTGCCTTGCAGAATTTGTTGACACCGTCAAAGACTGCACTCGCTGCACTGGCTTTTGTCGGGCCAAGGAAGCGGTCCGATCTCGCAATGCGGAAGCTCGAAGCGCTTGCATGAAGAAGTTGCCGACTGCTGCGTACAAAGACATGCCGAGCCCTTTGGGGTTGCCAAGGCACATGCTACTGGGAGAGGGCGTGTGCAGCTGACACTGTGCTGTAGACAAGTGGGCTTAGGCTGAGATTCAGGCCAGCTATGGACTTTCTGCTTGATTCAAGAAGTTGCTATAAGTTCTGCTCGTGCTTGTAGTCTCCTCCTTGATACCGATGAATGAAGGCTCCGTGCAGTGTTGCGCTGCTTTTTTGACAGGGTGATGATTGGGCTAGACTTCCTGACGGTGTCCACTGTAAAGTCAAGAGACAGTGGCACATACGACGCAACCCGAACCATGCAGGCTCCAGGAGAATTGTGTCATTTGCCTCAGCGACTTCGAGCCAAATTGCACAGTCCTTTGGTGCTGCAAACAAGTGCGTCCGACGAGTGTGAGTGGGGAAGGGGATAGGTCAAAGGCAGCCAAGCACGGAAGATTTGCGATACGATGATAACAACCGGATTGCTTCGAACACGGAAGCGCCATCGCTGGTCTGTAGCAACGAGTCCTTCATATTTTTTGGCCGCATCTGTTAGTGCACTGTGTTACGGAGTGGGTTTCGAAGTGGAGGAGTTCTGAAGATGTGGCCCCTCAGGTTACCCGACTTGGATGCGGCCACGTGTTTCATGTTGCTTCGGCGGCAGTTAACAGGGGGCTCTGTGGAGGATCACAAACTGCAGAGACTCCGAAGCATGTTGTTTCCTCTTCAGGCGACCTGCATCAAGAATTGGCTGGTCGACGCTGCACATGACAGTTGTCCATATCGGTGCCAAGAAGACCCTTTGGAGATTGACTCTTGGTCCGCCAGTCACACTGGGACAATTCTTGACGACGGAAAGCTTGTTCAGGATTCATGCTGTGAGCTTGACTGTTGGAGTGCGATAGCTGTGTCTCCGTGAAGACCCAGCAGTTGGAAGCGTAGAAACACAGGAGGGCTTCAAGCTGCCGCGTCTGGGACAGGTACTGTTGACCCATCCTGCGATCGGTTCTGCCCGTGATAATACAGCATGATGCAGCCATGCGCAGGCTGTTTAATCTCAGTTGTCGGGCTGGGACCGAGGCCGAAGTGACCGACAACGCCCGACCGTAAACTGTACAGTGTACAGGCACATGAAAAATATTTGCTTCTGACGGAAAGCAGGTTTCCGTCCTGCCTCTGCAACTTAGTAGTTCGGAATGGTCGGCGGCCATTCAAGGTGCAAAAGTCTATGACAAGGCCAAGGGGAGACTAATCATAGGTTGCAACTTTATGTTCAGAACCGGTTTTCTAGATGCTTTAGCTGAACTTTAGCTTCTCGGGAGGCGAGTACCTTGAGCTCTTGCAGTCTGCAACTGATAGCGAATGGCTAGGGGCAAGCCTTAAATAAAGACCGACAGACTGCAACAGCATGTCGACCAGAATTATTGGCTAGCACTTGTTGGATTTGCAGGCCTCGCCCTTCTTAGGGAGGACCGATTTTCAAGCTCTGGTGCCAGATTCGGAATTGGTTGATCGATCTCGCCTCGTGTCTGAAGCCACGATGTGCGAGTAGAATTCCTTTTCCTGGCCACCAGCGTTCGCTTGGCTTGATTTGGCTTGTCGCGCTCGCCTGGCAAAAAATCGGAGATATCGACAAGCATAGCTGGCACAGCTACTGGCCGTAGTGCCACCACGATCGAGCTGCTCAGCATGGGAGGCAGCCACAGATTCAGGCTTGATACACGAGGAGGCCAGTCTCTGACCCAAGCGCACAGCCCTGGTCAAGAAAATCGTTGGCTTGTGAAAGGGGCGCTCCCTTCAGAAATTTCTCCACACTCTGCTTGCAGAGGCCTTGCTTTGAAAGCACGCAGACATGCACAACGGTTAGGCCTTTGCTCCATCAGGCAGTCGACAGCCACGGACATCACCACCCCGACCTTTTTGAGCTGCTACTCGCGCAGCGCCTGGAACATCGGTATCTACTTGGCTGACCATTCCACCCAAGTGCACATTCTTCGACACCACTTCGACCTCAGGCGTTGCAGCAAGTGGAATCAGGCATCCCAGACCAGCCAGCATCGTGCTCTTGCAATGCTCGGTATGAAACAACACCGATCCACTTCCTGCAGATGCCAGTCTCGTCGAGCTGCTGAACGATACCAAGGCTTTTAGTGATCCAGTGGTAGAGTGTCTTTGATCCTGCCATTGTTTGGCCAGGTTGTCCTCCAAGTCTTGCTATGTCAGAAAGCTCCGATTGGAGTGCAACCTGCCCGCCTGGTTGAATTGCTGGAGGCCCATTCTCTCTGCTTGCACTTCGTCGTAACCCTGACTGCATGGTACAGACGTGGGCGTAGAATCAGACACAACTCCGGCACGAAATCTACGATTACCGCTCCTCACGCACAGCACAACGAACCATGACAATCTCTGAAGCTCGGGAGCCAATATGACAGCATAGGCCCATGTAGACAATGTACAGCCCAAGCAGTGAGAGTGAGTAAGTGGTTGAGTGAGTGAATTGCCACCTGTCAGCCCTGGGCAGGGCCATGCCTCAGGCGCCATCCCTCCCAGCCCAGGCGTCTAGAAGCAACGCCCAAGGGCCGGCACAGGGTCTGGCAAGAGACAGAGGTCAAACCCGCCACCTCCTGGACCCTGCAAGTTGTTATTCTCGACCAGGTTGACACAAAGCATGACCCTACAATTTGTAATCGCAATCGCCCAATTGCCTAACACGACCCCGCAAGTTGCAATTGCCAGTAACTTGATGCAAGGATCTGCAATTCCCCACAAGCTTGACACCAAAACAGGAGCCTGGAAACTGTAGTCCAACCGTAGCTTCACGCAAGACAAGAGACTGGAAGTTTGATCCCCCAGCAGCTTGATGCAAAACCGGACCCTGCAAATTGCAATCCCCCCACAGCCTGACCCTACAAACTGTCACTGTCCATGAGCTTGTCGCCAAACAGGAGCCTGGACATTCTCATCGCCCAATAGCCGCAAGACAGAAGCCTCGGAACTGCTGCAAACACAACCGCATAGATTACATTTGCCCAACAGCTTGCTGTAAAACAGATGAACCCATCTACTTATTTGTTGATGTGTCTTCAGTTGTTTGTTGATGCCTCGCCCTTAGAGCTCTTCCCACGGAGGTCCCTTTGGGACGAGCTGCAGCGGCTGGGCACCGTAATGGCATAGCACGCCTCAGGTGCAGCATAGCCCCTGCACATCCGGCTGCTCACTCACAGAACTCACATCCTGTATATAAGAGGAAGTAGACAAATTTCAGCCGTCTCCCCTGCAGACAAGTCCTCATACTGTGTGAATTCGGACTGGCGGAGTGCAGCCCAAAGCTCCGGGCAACACTTCCCGGACGAGGGGTAAACAGTGAAAGAGCATCACGCACTCCTAGCCCTACATTTCTGGAGCACCCTTCCGGCGCCCAAGACCACCGCGTGAGTCGACGGCAGCACGAAACACGAGTCGCACCGCAAACGTTTGCAACACATACATGGACTTGGGGAGGCACGATATAATGATCCGATAATGGGAGGTGGCGCAGCAGGCTATGCAGGCAGAGCATGCGGAATTGAGCTCCAGCTTACGGGTGACGGAGCCTTTGCCGCACCAGCGCCCTGGCGTGCCGCAGGTCTCCCGTACTCCCTGCCACTTCGTGAAGCATTGTCAGTTGTGTCTGCAAAGGCCACGGACTGGCCACGGACTCGGCGGAAAGAGGAGAACGACTAAGCGCACAGTTTCGAACTTCGATAGCAACTTCTATGCTGAGAATTCTTTGGGCGGGTTGCCCAGCAGGCTGGATGAAATGCTCTCGAGTAGTGGAGCTTTCTTATACACTACGCAACACGGCCTCCTTGATTGAAATTGGCCTCGAGGGCTGCATCCGTCAAGTGAAAATTCACAGATTCTCTTAATTTTAAGGCCCGTTGATATAGGCAGTAGTATGTTTCCCAACACCTCCCCACCCTGCGAAAGAAGAACCCCTCCCGCAAGAGGAGAAATGCTGTTTCCAAACCACGTCTCTGATTGAGCTTCTTTTATTTCTGTTGCCTTGCGACAGATGCTGGCAAGATCTGGCGAGTGGGGCAAGGGCCATATCGGCGCATTATGTGAAATCATGCTCAAAGCCAAAGAAGCATGTTTTGTCACACTGTCTTCAAGGCTCAGAGCTCCTGTCAGCAATCGCAGAGGAAGCTTTATCACAGTCGCAGGCTGATGTGTGTTTCACTGTCACTTCAGGACCTTTTGAGCATGGACTTTGAGTGCTGTTGGTTTCGCGAGAGGTTCTGGGACCAGCCGGTATCTGCCTCGGACCCTTCGGAGAACAGCTTGTCGGCGGTACTGGCAAAGTTGTTCAAAGCGCGATGAGCTCTTCGTTGTCATGGAGAGGTATTGCATCAGCTCTCCAGGCATTGTCCAGGCAGGCAAGCAGAAGAAGTCCAAGAATAAGTTTGGCGGCTTTCAATTAAAGCTACAGAGACTAATAAGCCGACGGCCAGAATTTTTGGCCTCTTGCAGCTACTGTGTCCGATAGATTGCCTGCAGCAACCTATACTGCTAACAGTTCATATTAGCTTCTCGGAGCATTCTCATGTCTTGCGCCGCTCGTCCGTACAGCTGCAGGCTCGGCGCTTTAGCTGAGCCGCGGTGCCACCTGAGTCAGAGTGGAGTGGCTCAAGAAGCATGCAAGGACTCCAACCAGGGCACGCCACTTCCTGTTTGGTAAGGTTGGGCAAGCCTTTTGAAGAAAGACATCGGTCAGAAGTTGCAGGCCTGCCAGCATCTCACTTGCAACAGGGTTGTCCTCGCCAACAAAGGTTTCCTTTCGTCAAGAGTCGAGCCAACTGGCACGTCTGCTCGCGTCACAGCTTTTGCCTGCCTAACCGTCGCAGGGCAGGTTCTCACTTCGTCAATGTTGAGCAACTGCAGGGCTGCGGATCTCATGCGTTCACTATTGGCCAACACCCCAGAAATGATCGCACCTGTCATTCAGAGCTTATCGGTCATGAAAGTTTCGTTTTCGTATTTCGCGGCTCATTCTTAAGCTTTCCAGATGCTCCCTTTTCCGAACACACAACACCGTACTACCCTCGATCCGATGCAAGTCACGGTGCCAGTGCAGCATAGTGCAGCCGTTGCCGCCGTGCAGCGGCTGCAGGAAGCTTCTACTCAACCCCACACCTTGATTTGAAACCAATGAACCGGTCTCAGAGCATGCCGAAGCTGCGGCCGAGCAGCCGGGCGGATCGAGTCGAAAGACGACCCGCAGGCCGTGCTTGTGCAAACAGTGGAAAGCAGACATGCTCAAGCCGACGAGGCAACCTGAAATCGCAAGCGCTCTCGAGAACGGAGTCCTTGTCGAAGCTTTGACAGCAAAGCAAGGTTCAAATATCCGACGCAGTTCACATGAAGCAAGACAGTTGAGGATGATGCCAGCTCCCGTCCGGCTCGAGTTCCAGCGATACTCATCACCGGCCTCGGGGCCGATGGGACGACCCTTCGATTGCAAGGGGCATTTCAGGTATTCAACCGTCGTCAGGGCTGCAGGCTCCATAGCCTCGAACCCTGGCCGTCCGCTGTCCAAACAGTGCAGGTGAGATTAGCCGATTCGTCCCAATCTAGCGAAATCCGGGAGCCCGAAACGAGGCTGATTGACAGAAAGACCATGTTACAGAACCTGCATGCCCAAACTTGAGACTCTAACTAAAGTGCTTTTTATTGTGCGTGCTGACGCTCGCATGTTCAGTTGTCTACGACACTTCTTCGAGCCTTGCAACACCATGCGACAATTCGATGCTTCCCTTCCTGCGAGTAAGCCAGTAAAGCAAAAACGAGGAACATTCTGCTTCATCCAGGCAAATTGCTATCTGCTGTGGGGGGGTATCATATGTTCTACCCACCCCCCAGGACCTACCTCGAAGCCTCTTCTTGTACTGTTTAGACGACGTTACGACTCCACTCCGAGCAAAAGTGTTATGTTGCGTAGTCTCCCTTGTATACGACGACACAACACCGCTCGAACCAAGACCACACCACGAAGTATTGTCTAACGTCCTCTGTATGCTACGCCATTACTGTAAACGGCACGCTCCTCCTGATGTTCCTTTTTGAAACCGTGATCTGTAGGGCATTGTATAAGTCATTGTAAATGGTATCTTAAAAGGTATCCTAGAGGGTATTCTATGCGGTACAATTGAGGTATACAGAGGATACATTATACAGGCGGTCTTCTGTAAGAATGGTATTCTATAGGGTACTCCACAATGTATTATACCAAAGGTATTTAGGAAGGTGAAATGCTGTAAGGTGCATAGAGAGGGTATTTTATAAGGTAGTTGTAAGGATATTCTTCTTGGTTCCTGATTTCTTCATAGGAATCCCTTACCCAAAAGCTGAAATCCAATTGGAAATTCTTGGGCTCCGGCTGGCTTTCCATTTTGCAAATCCTTATCTGTAGGGTACTTTTTCAAGTGCTCTATAAACGGGGTATCCTAAATTGTAATGTATAAGTATTCTATATGGCATACATAAGGTATACAGGATGCATGTCGGGTAAATCGGTGGAACTGTAAAAACACATTCTATAGCGTAGTTTAGATTAACGGGGCATCTATGAAAGAAATGGGGAATAAAGGAGAATAGCCTGTAGAATACCTTGCAGAATACCCTTTCTACAAACCTCAAAGAAATTCACTGTTTCCTCTCTCAAAATGCACATTGGCAGCTTAGAGTACAGTAATACCTCAGAGAATAACCCCTTATAGTCCTTTTCTACCTTGTACACCCAAGATCTCAGAGTTCCCCAGTTGTTTGTTGCTTATTTGGTAAGGGGTTCATCTGAAGGAATTGCGGAATCTAGGATGTAGGAACTTTTTGAAAAATCGATGCTTATCTAGTAAGGATACACACAGAGAACAGAGCTCTGCTTGCTCAATAAGCTGCAAAAAACTTGGGCTCCTTTTGATTTCTTCTATATAAAACCTGATCTATACGGTTTCTGTCGGGTATCTTTAACGGGATTCTCAAGGGTATATATAAGGTATACCGGGAGTATCATGTATAGGGTTTAATAGTGTGCAGTTGACTCCTGAACCTCGCCTGCCTGCCGAGAGCGAGTGCCAAAAATAGGGTTTAATACAACACTCTGTGCAGTATTCCAGATGGTTTTCTATAAGGTTTTATATAAGGTATATAGGAGAAAAGCAAGGTATTCTACGGGGCATTCTATAGGTTTTGTATGGGGTATCCCCAAAGGTATCGTATAAAAGGTATTCGTTTTTTTGCAAGCGCACGGTCCGTGAAGGTCCCGTCTGCAGCGACCGTTTCAGGTGCGTTTGTGGGGTTTCCGGCTTGAATTGTGAACCACAGATACCCAAAAAGCTCTATTTCTGGCAACACTCGAGACTTGGCGATACAAAGGAGTATTGTCCATCCATACCATAGAACGAGAAGAGTGTTCCTGTCGAATGTCGGCCGCTGTCGGAATGGCGAAGAAGCTGCGTTCTATAAAAGAGTGTGGTGGGGCTGCATCAGACTGTAGGTAAGATATACGGAGAGAGGCTTCCACTAGACATGATTCGGCCCAATGTGTCTTGGGCCTACCTACCCTATTAGGGCCTCGCGTGTGGCGATAAGCTGCTGAAGGCATAAAGGTAGATTGGAATTCAAGTGATTCTGGGTGCCGATAAAGATGGCCAAGGAGGTTCAGGCGATTTTGCGAATACTGTTGAGAAGGAGTGATGACATGTCTGGAAGAGAAAGCCAGCTCGGCAAGATACTGATTAGAGCATGGAGCCGCAGATGGGTTAAGAACCCTATGGTAGTAAGAGGATTTGATCTTAAAGATCCTACGCAAACAGTTGTAGTGAATAGAGTCGAGCTTGGTGAGCTGTGTGGGGGTGAGTACAAGGCTGTCCATCGCATACATCAGAATAGATTGGACAACTGAACGATATACCAAGAGCTTCCAGTTAGGGGGAAGATGACCATGCTTCATAAGCGGAGCAAGCTTCTTGGAGGCTTCCATCGCTCTAGAAATGCAAGTGGATACATTTTTATGATTAGTGGATCGTGGATCCAAATACACTCCAAGGTACTTAACCGCGTCGGAGAGTGGAACTTGTAGGTCCTTAACTGGAGAAAGGAGATAATTCGGGTCGAATAGAATACGATGAGGGGAGTTGACGGATAGATGTTCACATTTGTCATAGTTGAGATATAGGCCTCGTCGGGCTCCTTCTTTCTGTACTAAATGGAGGAAAGGAGTTAGTCAGGAGAACCGTGTCATCCGCGTATTCCTAATCCCGTAAAGTGGCGCCCAGGCGTAGGACACCAGAGACAGTGCCGTGCTCTGCCGTATAATGTCGCTCGACATCCTCAAAAAGGTGAGTAAGCACGAAGCCGAATAAGTAAGGGGAGAGGGGGCACCCTGACGGAGCCCCTTGTTTGCGTGCTTTTCTCGGAGCGCTCGTTACTGTCACGAACCGTGAAGGTGGGGTTGTTGTAGAGAGAAGAAATGGCCCTCCGAAAGGGGGCTGGAACTCCCATGCACTGAAGAGAGGCTTGTATAGCGGAGAACGTAACAGAATCAAAGGCCTTGGCCCAATCAAGGAAAATAGCGTGGAATGGTTCTGTTTGTCTTTCATGAACCTCCAAAAGACGGCGTAGTATGTGGATAGGCTGAGTAACGGAGCGACCGGAACGAAACCCAAATTGGGTATGGCGGACTCGATGATCGAAGTGAACCGCCAAGCGTTTCTGAAGGAGCGAAGCATATATCTTATAAATTGTATTCGAAAGAGAGATAGGTCGATAATTGGACAGGAGCTTCGTATCTTTCTGGTAGTTTTTAACCAGCATGACAACTTCTGAGTGGAGCCAGGAGGCTGGGGCCTCTCCTGTCACGAAGCAGTGGTTGTAATGGTCCAGTAAATAGACCCGAAATATATAAGGGGCATTTTGAAGAAGTTCGGCCGGAACGCCGTCAGGGCCTGGAGCATTGCGCTTACCGAGCGCGCGGAGAACAATGTTAAGTTCTTCCATATTGAAAGGGCGAGAGGCTTCTGGGATTTCGGAAAAAGAGGGAGTATCTGGAAAAACCTCTGGGGAAGGAGCCTTCCAAACCTGATTGGCTAAATAGTCTGCGAACGATTCTGCCCGGCACGATTTAGAGACCAGTTTACCTTGAGACTAAGTTGGTAGGGGAAGGGCGGAAATCTTTTCTCATGGAGCGCGCTGTACGCCATTGCTGTATGGCGGAGCCATGAAAATCCTCCTGGAGGGTAGCCAATATAAATTGTTTCTTGTCCCGGCTGGCAAGTTTCTTGATGCGATTTCGATGTTGCTTAACCTCTTTCTCAGTGAGATCGGTCTTACTTTGGAAGGAGGAAATACATTCTAAAGTAGCTAGGAGAAGCAGGGAGAGTGGGAATAAGAACATGTTTCTGAATGAGTTCTAACAGGTAAGCGTTTTGGGCGTCAGGAGAAAGAGACAACCACGCGGCAGAGGAGTAACCAATGTCGGGAGGAGAGAGCGCCGCCGTACGGGAGCCGGAGAATCTACCCAAGGAGCCATATTCAGTAACGCCCGGCAACCTTGGCAATTGTCACATAATGGAGAGTGCGCAAGGCAGTATAATACTGCTGCGCAAGAGTAACGAGCTGCTGATGCGTATTGGGAAGAGAGTCACCTAAAATCACCCGCCGCGCATATTGGGAATCTGTATAAATGGTGATATCAGAAAAGGAGGGAAGATTAGAGTAATAGAGAAGATAATCAAAGAGCTCAATGAGGGCTTTAAGCTCGCCTGTATTGTTGGAGCCCCAGATCTCGGGCAGAACATGTGTACCGGTGGGTGTACAGGTGAAGTCCCATTGTGTGTCCTGCGTGGCTTCTTCTTTTACCAAAGAGCTAGTAACCGCGAATCCCCATCCAGCAGGGTTCTCAGGAGAGACGAC